ATATATAAAATATAAAAATATAACCTTTATATCCACTGCAGTCCCTTCATCCACCCATCTCAGGAGAAAGCTGGTAGCATACTGTCTCTTGAGTGGATTATGTCTGCCACAGATCCCCTCCAGGCCTGATGTTATATTCCCTGACCCTGGTTCAAGACTTGGCCGTCTGGGAATGGTTTGACTTTTTCCACTGATCCTTTCTGGCTACATGAGAAAAAACCAAAAACCACACACACAAAAAAACCCCAATGAACCAACCAAACAAAAAAAACCCAAACAAAACCCAGCAGCTGTGAGTTACCCAGGGTTATGTATATGGCAGTCGTGTGGGCCTTGAAGCTAAACCAAACTCATCCACTGAGTGCAGTTCTATGAAGAAATTGTGTGTCCACCCAGAAACATCAAGCCGAATAACAACCTTGGTAACCCCAGCGCAGCTTCTTTTTCCATTGACTGGAGCATTATTCATCCAAATAAAATTATTGCTGTCTGAAAGTTGAATGCTTTTGTTCAATGGGAAAGGATGGACTTTATGTAAGAGCAGATGGAACCATTTATTCTGCCTGGGTTGATATTCATTGCTCTGAAGGCATTTGGAAGTATTGTGACTCCTGTCCTGAAGCACAGACTATGGCATTTTAATGCTAGGTCATGCTACAGGGCTCCCTAATCACAGCATTTATGTGATAGATCGAGAGAATGGAGAAACAGGCATGGGAGAATGCAGGCCATGTGGAAGACAGACTCCATGCTCAATGGAGATGCCTGCCTGCTCTTGACTTTACTGACTCCAGCTGAAATCTCCAGGACGCACATCTTCTCCTTAACTGTGTTACCTTTGCACTTACCAAGGGTGCTGCCAGGTCCCTGCGTGAAGCCACCCAGCTAAGTGCTGATGCGTGTCTATGCCAATATGCTTGAATCAGTTCTGGTCCCTGTCTGCCGTTAGGAGAGAGAGCTACAATTAAGGTAATTACAAGCCATTCAGTATCAGGGAGAGAAAACTGTCTTTCACATGAGAAAACCACAGCATGTTAGTCTGCCCAAACCATCACAACACAGAGCAAAACCAGAGGTCTCCAGCCTACACAAGGAAAAACCCCTGGTGACAGTGCTGCATGTGCTCTTGTCTTCAGGACAACCAAAACCCAGCCGCTGGGATAAGAGGAGCTCCCAGCTGCTCCCCTCAGGGTGGTGTGACTCCCAGCTCTGCCATGGCTTACTGCTGGGGCTGGGGTTGAAACGGGTGCTGTGGTCATCTGTCTGTTGTGCCTGGGCAAATCCTGAGGCATTACTGTTAACTTTGCATGATGATGAATTTATCTTGTCCAGCAAAGAAGATCCAGATGGCAAAGAAGCTTGAGAAAATTGCTTGCTGTCCTGCACATCAGGAAGAAACGAAAGCTGTCAAGTTATTTACAACTGTAAGACATCCATAAATAACCTGGCAAATGCAGTGTCCTTCCCAGTGCTCCTGGGTGCCACAGCTGCCTTCCAGAAAGCTGCATACTGCAGAGTCTGTTGGGAGCACAGGATGCCATCTGCTATGGGGGCTGTCATGGTACTTCCGGATCTCTCAGATATACAGGACAACATACTCTGTGATTTAAAGTATAATTCATGAGTGGAGGGACTTGTCTTAGTCATCTGCTGCTGTGGGATTTAATGGTTATGGCTGAGATTTGTCTGTTGAACCCTAACATGTTACCTGAATATTTCTCAGCAATATTGTGCTGTTTGTTGGATTATTTTCTTTACTTTAAATTTAATTAATTAATTCTAATTAAGTTGATAAAATGCAGTTGCCTTTTCCCACCATTGCATTTACTTCCTTTCAGTCTCACCCACCACCACCCTAGGTCACCCTTTCCCTCCTAATGTTAAAAGGCCTTGCAGTATTTGCCCAGCTTTACAAGATTGGAAAGGTAAGGTAGTCCCTGAGTGAGCAATGAGAATTTGCTGGACTATATTGAACACAGCAAGGAAGGAGTGGGAAGTCTTGACTGTATAGGTGCTAGCCTCTGGTGTGGAACTGTCTTGTGCTTGCAGATTTTGGCCTTGTAAAGCTTGGCTGTTGCAAGTTACCATCAGTCACAATGAGAAGTATGTTTCCAGATAAAGCATTCCTTGGCTTCTCAATCAGCTAGAGTGGCTTTCAGTTGAAAGCCTCTGGGTAAGCATGAAGGGGAAAGGAAATAAAGCAAATTTTGTTGTGGGAGTCTACTATTGACCACCCAGTCAGGATGACATCACCAGTTATTATAGAAGGAGCTAAGGGATATCTCTCAATCAACTGGCTTTGGTCTTATGGATGATTTTAACTTCTCAGATATCAACTGGGAATATCACACAGCCAATACAAAGAGGTCCATGAAATTTCTGAAGCATGTGGAAGGTAACTTTTTGATGCAGGTGCTGAGGGAGCTGACTAGGACTTGTAGTTTGTAAGCAGAGAGGGACTCAAGGGCACAGTGGTGATTGGTGCTGGCTTGGACACAGTGATCATGAAGTAGCTGAGTTTCAAATCATTGATGATAGGAAAGCTGCCAGCAGAACTTCAACACTGGGGATGGGGAGAGCAGACGTGGGGCTGCGGAAGGAGCGAGTTGGTCAGGTGTCCTGGCAATCTGCTTTTGAAGGTCATGGGGTCCATGGATGAGACACTTAAGAGCCATCTCTTAAATTGCGCAGGGGCTGGCAATCCCAAAGTGTCAGAAGTCATGCATGTGGGGCAGAAGGCGCTGATCCCCTCCCTTCGGTAAGCAGCAATAGCCCACGAGGAAATGTAATGAGGCTGGGCATTAGGAAAAGGTTCTTCACTGAGAGGGTGGTTGGTCACTGGAATAGGCTTCCCAGAGAAGTGGTCATGGCACTAAGCCTACCAAGAGTTCAAGGAGCATCTGGATGATGCTCTTAGTCATATGGTTTAGTTGTAGGTAGTCCTGTGAGGAGCAGGAAGTTGGACTTGATGATTCTAATGGGTCCCTTCCAACTTGAGATATTCTATGATTCTATGATCTCTAGCAATTTAGCCATGGCAGGAAGGCACCCACTTGCCTCTAATCAGCCCTGGTTAAGGGAGATGAGAGTTTTCCTTCCTGAAGCTCCAAGGGGTCAAGTGCATGCTTAGATCCTGAGATGAAACTCAGCAGGCCCTGAAAAACATCTGCTCCACTATGGAGTGTGAGGTGCCTCAATCCCCTGTGAAAAGACTGTGCTATGCAGACAGGAGGAACCATAACCAAACTAACCACTTAACCCTGCCTCTGCCCACTAGCTCCTTGCCTGCCCATGGAACCTCTGAAGCATGGTGGTCAGGTTAAGCTGCTTTTATGCACTGACAGTTGACTGCTAACTGTGGAGAAAAACATCAGCTGTGCACTGTGCACTGACCTGCTCAGAGACCTGTCTGTATCAGTAAACATGGCTGTGGAGAAAGGAGTGGGGACACCAGGCAGGGTTTGGCTCTGCAGACTTTGCTCAATGCTGGTTTTCCTGGTGCACTGTGATTTACACCAGTTATTCATAAGGCCCCATTGAGCTAGCCCATCCCCACTCCAGATGACCACTGCAGGCCTCACTATTGCCTGAATGAAGAAAATAAATACATTTATTTGCTCTGGGTTAGAAAGACATTTCTCTAGTATGTACGACAGCAACACCCCAGACATGCAGAGAGCCCACAGCCCGCCCCACATCCCAGGGAAGGTCCCAGTCACAGGGAGAACAGCAAAGCCAGCAGCAAAGCCATCACTGCAACCATCAACGGGCTGTGCCAGGCGCCTTCCATACCACCTTTGCTTGCCTGG